AGTCTGAATGTGGGGACCTGGGGGGCGGGTGTCAGGGCTTTAGGATACCGGCCGTCTAAGGCCTGGGGGATGGGCTATTAAAGAAACCAGATTAGGTTAAATGAGAGAGTCTGGAGGCCAAGGGTTGGGGGTGTAAAGTGTTCAGAGATCAGAAGGGTTGGGGGCTCGGGAAGTCTGGGGATGGGAAGGGAAAGGAGGCTGGAAGAACAGAAGCCGGCCCGGGGGCATGGCTCCGTGCTTTAGGATACCGGCCGTCTAAGGCCTGGGGGATGGGCTATTAAAGAAACCAGATTAGGTTAAATGAGAGAGTCTGGAGGCCAAGGGTTGGGGGTGTAAAGTGTTCAGAGATCAGAAGGGTTGGGGGCTCGGGAAGTCTGGGGATGGGAAGGGAAAGGAGGCTGGAAGAACAGAAGCCGGCCCGGGGGCATGGCTCCGTGGCTGAGCATCCACCCAGGAACCAGGGGCTCAGGGTTCGAGTGCCGGTCAGGCCGTGTGCCTGGGTTGTGGCTCGATCCCCAGCAGGCGGCATACAAGAAGCAGCCGATCAGTGATTCTCTCTCACCATTGATGTTTCTCTCTCCCTCTCCCTTCCTCTCTCGCCGAAATCAATAAAAACATTTTTTTTTTTTTTTTTTTTAAGGAAAGGAAAAGGAAAGCCAGAACTCTGGCTTCAGGAAGTTGGCCGGTCAGGAATCTGAGGTCAGCCATAACCGGTTCGGCTCAGTGGATAGAGCGTCGGCCTGCGGACTGAAAGGTCCCAGGTTTGATCCCGGTCAAGGGGGTGTGCAGGAGGCAGCTGATCGATGTTTCTCTCTCATCGATGTTTCTAACTCTCTATCCCTTTCCCTTCCTCTCTGTAAATATCAGTAAAATATATTTTTAAAAAAAGAAAGGAATCTGAGGTCAGAGGGCAGAGGTCATGAGGTCATGGGCTGAAGTTTGGACGAAGCTGCCTGCGGGTACCTGGCATCTGTGAATATGAGAAACCTGGGCCCAGGCAAGACGTTCCTATTTGACTACGTGTAGGGCGGCAGGGGGGGCATTCTCTACTTTCTCGTGCGCTTGGCGATATTTTGCAATAAAATAACATTTAAGAGAAAACTCCGGGGTCCAGAGTTAAAAGGTGATGAAGTCGAGGGCCAGGAGGGAGCAGAGGGGCTGAGAGGCCACTGACCGAGCCGCCCTCCACGATGTCCCGCCACAGCGGGCGGTCTGGCGGCTGCTCTGCCAGCTCCAGGAGGTTGTCCAGCACCACCTGGCCGATGAGGTCGTGCCGCGAGAAGCGGTCGAAGTCATAGACGCTGAAGTGCAGCTTGCGCTGGGCCAGCTCGGCCAGGGGCACCGCAAACTGAAACGTCTCATTGAACACAGGGTTCAGGGTCTTCCTGTGCACCTGGGGGGGGG